CCCGATGATGATCGACAAGCGCTGGGCGCCCAAGGTGTGCTCGGAGTGCAGTGCTCCTCCAAAGGTCCCAAAGCTCAAAGCCCCAAATGCCCCGCACGCAGGAACGAATGACGACTCCTTCAGCGCGCGACCCAGGATGTGGTGGCAGGGGAGACCCCCCCATCACTTGTGGCTGTGGCTCATGCTGAAACAGCCAATGCCAGCAACCTTCGGACGCCGTCTTCTTTTTTTCGCCTCCGAGGCTTGTTGGAAGGGGAGAAGGCCTGCCTGCCAGGGCCCGCCTGCCTCCTGTTCACCTCACCCTCCAAGTCACCCCTCGTTCACACGATGATTTGGCGTCACTCTACCAATTGCCCGTCGATAAACATCGATAGGTACGGCGAAGATGCTCAATGCCACCTACAGATCAACATGAATTCGCCTTGAAAAATGGGAAGGAAGAAAGACAGACTGGCCGGTGCCCAGCACGCACAACTGGCAACGGATGCTTCGGAATGCGATTACTACCAGGACATGCCCTTCTTGGAACGCCATCCACTTCAACGCATCCTGCCCTGGTACCTATCAATAGACCCAGGTCGACGTCGGCGGGAATGCGGGAGGGTGTCAGGGTCTCATCCCATGTCTCATCTCCTTCATGGTCGTCCACCCGCCACTCCAAAAGCCTCGATCGTCGCGTCTACCAACCTTCCATTCTGATGCTGTCTGCCACTGCGGCTACCTGGTTGAGCTGTCTCCGTACTTGTTCAACAGCTTGGACTTCCCGTTGGTACATGTGTTGCAATCACAGCGTCCCTTTTGCGTACGGCACCACGAGTGCGGCGTCACAGGCAGGCTACTGACGTGAAGCGCGATGCTGTGAGCGCTGTACAGCATCGCAATAGGCGAGGCCAGGAGGTTTGCCTCGAGGCCGAGCTGTTGTGTTCATGCAGACTCCCCTTCGACGTTCAGCTCACAACCTGGCTTGCTGCATAGCGGAGATTCGACAAGCCCCCCCCCCCCCAGCGGCGTGGCACTGGTGCAGGTTGGCCTGCCTCCCCGTATTTTGGCTTTTCGCTTGTCGTGAACCCCGAGCCCCGATTCTCCTTGGAGCTTGTCACGCCCTGTGCTTCGACCCCCATTTCCTCTTCAGCCTCTTCACATGCACCTGTCCTCCAGGTCCACCTCTTGCTGGTTTCTATTTCTCTCTCTGGTGCGCAACGTGCCACTGACCGTATTTCGGCTTCCAGTGTCACGGTCCAGCATGAGAGGATCTGCCAACGCGTCTTCACGTGATCGTGCTTCAGAAGCGAGATGACTATGCACTGCTACCATTGGCCCAATTGGGATGACGCTGTCCATGGTGGGGTCGTGGCTTCGGTGAGGTGATCCTTCGTCTTACAGATTCACATACAAACGTCTTACAGAATATGGAAAGGCGAGAGAGTTCTCTTATCAGAATCCTCCGGTCCATCGCCTTGCGATTGCTATCTAGCCCTGCCAGCAGAACAGGCCCTCTTCCACCTCTTCCCTTTCCCCCCCCCTTCCTTCTACACTTAGGTCTGGCATGCACAGATGCGGATTGAGACGCCTCGGAATCTCTAGGCACGCGTATCGTTGAACCGTCTAGCGACGCAGCAACATTGTGTCTCACCCGAGGGCAGACCCCAAAACCCCCCATCATGGCCACCATGACGGGCGAATCCGCGCCCATCGTGCCGGACGCACCATCTGAGACGTCACCTCTGCTTGGCCCCGAGATTGGACGTGTGAGGGCCGGTTCCGAGGATGCCAGCAGCACTGCAGTGGCAACCCAGTCATCAGACGATGACGAGCATGTTCAAGGCAAGCCCCGGTCGGCCAACAAGATGCAAGTCATCATATTGGCCGTAGGTATTGGTGTAAGTAGGCATGGAGGCAACACGAGCAGCAACCAAGTACTGACATGGGCAGATCTTTCTCTGTGCCGTTGACCAACTCCTCACCGTGGCAACATATGCCAAGATCGGCTCTGAACTTCAGGCCCTGAACAACACAAGCTGGATAGCCACGGCGTAGGCCCCCCGCCAGGCAACGTCCATAATTTGCACCACGGCTCATTTCGTCCTAGGTACTTCATCACGCTCACCAGCACACAGCCGCTGTATGGCAGGCTGTCTGATATCTTTGGCCGCAAAGAGTGCCTCCTCTTCTCTTACACAGTTTTTGGACTCGGTTGCCTCGGCTGTGGTCTCGCTCAGAATTTCACGCAACTCTGCATCGCCCGCGCCATTGGCGGCATCGGTGGCGGTGGCATGAACAGCGTTGTCAGCATCCTCATGAGCGATATTGTGCCCCTTCGAGACCGCGGCATCTGGCAGGGCTACATCAACATCATCTTCGCCGCTGGCACCTCGACCGGCGCACCCCTCGGCGGTCTCCTTGCCGATTCGATCGGTTGGCGCTGGTCCTTCCTCGGCCAGGTTCCCATCTGTGCCGCTGCCTTTATTGCAGTCTACTTCGTCCTCGATCTCCCCAGAACCGACCATTCCCATTGGCGTGCCAAGATTGCTCGCATCGACTTTCTCGGCGCTGCCACCCTCGTGGCGGCTGTCATTGCTCTCCTCGTTGGCCTCGATGCGGGCTCCAACCAGGGCTGGGGCCACCCCCTGACCCTGACAACCCTCGCCTTGACGCCTGTCCTGTTTGCCGCGTTCATCGGCGTCGAGATGCGCATCGCGTCGCACCCCTTCGCGCCGGGCCACATCATCTTCGACCGCTCGCTCTTTGCCTGCTACCTGACCAACTTTTTCGCCATAGCGGGCCATATCACCACCATTTTCGTCTGCCCTCTTCTTTCAAGCCGTGCAAGGGGCCTCCGCTACCCGCGCCGGC